GCGTCACAGAAAGAAACGGAGGAACCGCGACGGGAGAGCGAGAACCAAAGGGAGGAGATGATCTGATCATCTTCATCAGCAGCTTTTATAAAGTTATGGAAACAAACGTCACAAATAAAATCCACCTGGTTGGTCAGGTATCCCAGAAGGCTGTTTCTGTAGACGGTGACATGAGGAGGGACAGATTAAAGTCACACTGGTTTTTATTTGAACACTCAACTGTTTACTACCTGACCTTGGGTGTCCTGAAAGGCGCTTTGAAATAAAATGTATTATTATTATTATTACTAAAAGATTCAGCCTCATTCCAGCATTATTTATACGTACAATAAATATTTATTTAGCTGAAAATATAATGTTATCAGTGCAGAATTTTATTAGTTGACTTTTTGTAATGCAATGTTTACATTTAACCATTTATCTGCTTATTAATCTTCATAATGCTGGTAGAAATGTAGCTACAGCTGTGACGTAGCCCATGAGTGTTATTTTATGATACCTAGTATTTATTTTACTGTATCCCGTTCTCTGGACCAGAGCGTAGACCTGTGGTCACAGACAGGCTGCAGTCATTAAACTGGTTAACATGAGGTCAGGGGTCACACTGTTTTCTGAGTGTTTGCAGTTCTGAGTTAAAATTGTTCTTTTGACGTAGTTTGCTCAAGTCATTTTGAAGTTCCTGTTTAGTAATAAATGTAAAGAAAATTCAAATCCGTTTATTTTTTCATTTAAGCTGCAGTTTTACAGACTTTAATAAACATAAACACTAAATACAAACCAGACACTGAAAGCTGAGGTTGTTCTGAAAAAAGAAGCAGAGTTACAAACATTTTACACTTTTATTACAATTTTAAAGCCATAAAACAAAACAAAAATACCTGTTATATTTATGGTCATAAGAGGGTTAAACGTGATACATTTTTCACCTCCCACAAAGAGATGGTAAAAGTGAATGTGCACATAATTATATACATTTTATTACTTTATTATGTATTTTTTATTATTGACTATTACTCCAAAGGGTTCAGATGAAGGCAACTGGACTTCTCTGGTTTCTTTAAAACGTTTCACTTCTCCTCTGAGGAGCTTTGTCAGTTCTAACTGGAAATTGGGAGAGTCAAGCTCATAAGCTGTAGCTGTCTGTTGTTATTTAAAGAGCAGAAACTACTCTGAGTACCCCGCCTCTCCATCTCCTGATGAGTCGTTAGCCTCTATTGATGGTGAGTCATCGTGTTGATTAGATGCAGGAAGGTGTGACCTAGACTGAAACTGAATGAGATTCAAAAAAAAGTTCTAATCTTTTAAACAACGCTGTTGGTCCTCTTGGTCCTTGTTCTGTTTTTTTAAAACCCGGTGTTAAAAACCTTGGTGTGTTTTTAGACGGTTCTTTTAATCTTTACAGACAGGTGAGTGCAGTGGTCCAATCAGGTTTTTATCACTTAAGGCAGATAGCAAAGGTGAAGCCATACGTTCCTGCTAATGTCCTCGAACATGTCATGCACCTGTTCGTGTCTTGCCGATTGGACTACTGCAACTCCCTGTTTTCTGGCCTGGACCAGTCCTCCCCACACCGACTTCAGCTGGTCCAAAAAGCAGCGGCTCGCTTGCTGTCTGGAATTAGCAATTGGGATCACATAACCCCGGTTCTGGCCTCTCTCCATTGGCTTCCTGTCTCTTACAGGATCCGTTTCAAAATGTTACTTTTTGTTTTTAAATCCCTTCATGGCCTGGCCCCAGTTTACATCTCTGAGCTGCTGTCCGCTTACGTCCCTGCCAGAACCATGAGGTCCAGCTCTCAAGCTCTTTTAACAGTTCCAAAAACCCGCCACAAGACTCGCGGCGACAGAGCGTTCTCTGTGGTTGGGCCCAAACTGTGGAACAAGCTACCTCTCAACATCAGGACCACACAGAATCTAGAGCATTTTAAATCCCTTCTTAAGACGCAATTTTTTGATTTGGCTTTTAATGCAGGTTGACTTGAGCATCTTAATAGTTTTAACAGTTTTTATTATAGATTGTGACTGTTGTGTGCTCATCTTATTTTAGATTTTTATTGTTGATTTGTTTTACCTTGTACAGCGCTTTGGTGTAGCTTTGCTGCTGTAAATGTGCTCTGTAAGTAAAATTGACCTTGACTAGGGATGCACCGATGGATCGGCATTTGATCGTAATCGGCCGATAGCGCCCCTATCGGTTTTGATCAGAGTTTTCAAAATAGATCAAAGCAGACCGATCAGGTAGGGTTGTCACGGTAACCAGTGTAGCGGTAAACCCCGGTAAAAAAAAAAAGTTGACAATAATAATAACCGTCTTGTTTTTTTAAAAAACTATATTATCTTGGTAGGTTTACCATGGCTGCGGTGTAGGCGCGGTGACCCTTACCAGCCACCGTATCATCGGCACATGCGCACTTTGTTGTTTACAACCAAAACTTTCTTGAAGCTAAAGCTGAAATAATGGCCAAAGGAGGAGACGGCAGCGCTCAGGAGGACATTTTTTATCCCTCAAAGAAGACAAAGTCGGAAGTACGGGCATCTTTTGGATATTTGAAGAATGCCGATGGAGTTTATAGGAGACGGCTATCCTGTTTGCAGCACGTGCAGAAAAGTGTCTGTGAAAGGCAGCAACGCTTCAAATCTCATGACACATCTGCGTGACCATCACCCACAACTCTACAATCAACGCAAGGGAAGCTAACGTTAGCGTTTTAGCTAAAATGTGTGATCCGAGGATTTGGGTTGAGGGAGAATGCAACGAGTCGCTATATAAAGCAGCCGCAGCGCCGCTACCTGCATATAAACCGTGTCGCGGACACCGCCATGTTGAAATGACGCTATGCATTACGGGGCTCCCAGGGGCAGATAAGAGTTGGTCTCTCTCTGAGAATAATTATGAATTTAACAATGATTACTGCCTGATGACATTTTCCCACATCTGCAAAGCTCACTGGAAGGACACAAACCGAGGACGATATTTTCCTGATATAGGGTTTATTACTCAAGTAAGGGTAAAAAAGTATCTGATTAGAAGGCTACTTGAGTACTGAGTATGTCTGATCTAATATTTTTTAAATGATGACATCAAACAGACGTAAAATAACAAGTTATGGGCAAATATTGGTATTTTAATGACTAAAGGGAAAAAAGTAAACAAATAAACAACATAATTACAAAATTACACATTTTAGGCAAAATTTAGACACAAACTGAGGATAATATTTCCTGACATACAGGGTTTATTTAATTGTGTGAAAATGTAACACGTTTAAAAAAAATACAGCGATAATACTGAAAACCGTGGTAATTTTGGTCACAATAACCGTGAGGTTAAATTTTCACACCGTGACAACCGTAGTACAAACCATTTTAGATTAGGTTACATTTCCTTTATTCCCAGATTATGTAGTTTGTAGCACTCATTATAATGTTGTAGAAAATTTCTGGCCAATCCACGTGATCGGTATCGGTGATCAGCATTCTTTGGTATCGGTGATCGGCAGCAAAAAACCTGATCGGTGCATCCCTAACCTTGACCAAAGCTGCATTATTGGTACTGGAAAGGTGAAATCTAAGCCCCGCCCCTATTTAAAGTGGGGTTTTCACGTTTTTACATAGATAGCTTCTTTTACTCCTCTCAAACCATCTATCTTCTCTGTCCAGAATGTGGACTTTGTCATCTTCAAAGGTGTGTCCCTTGTCCTTCAGGTGAAGGTGGACTGCAGAGTGTTGACCTGAAGAGGCGGCTCTCCTGTGTTGTGTTATGTTCTTGTGTAATTGTTGTTTAGTTTCTCTAATGTAAACATCTGGACAGTCCTCACTACACTGGACAGCATAAACGAACCCACTGAGCTTCTGTTTGGGTGTTTTGTCTTCTGGATGGACCAGGTTCTGTCTGAGGGTGTTGTTGGGTTAAAGTTTACCGGGATGTTGTGTTTGGAGAAGATTCTTCTAAGTTTCTCTGAGACTCCTGCCACGTATGTGATGATGGTGCCTTTGTGTAAACGGTGTTGTTGTTAGGTTGGTAGCAGAGCTCTCATGTTTAGTGTTAAGTTCAGTGAGATCATGGAATGGGATCAAGAATTTTCTACTGACAGGAAAAAGATCTCAGCTAACATAGCTGTAGATCACACTGGATAAGTCTCTGTGGTTGCATTTATTTTACATTTATTTTACTACCTCTTACTAGAGCTGTCTTTAGTAAGCACAAAATATATTTGGTTGTACACCTGTGCAATAGCAATAAAGTATCTTGATTCCTGTTAAATGTACTTCCTGAATGAGTGACCTTTTCAGGCTAAAATAACAAAATGACAAATACAGACAGAAGGACGACTTATTTCTTGTTTTATAATGTGTTGCATCACCACCTGGTACCAGAACAGTATTCAGTATTAGAAGATAATCAAAAATCAAACAACTTGGACTCGGATCAGGGGCAAAAATGTGGTTGTAACATCTCTAGATATAAGTCAGCTTTAAAAACTAAAACTATTATTTATGAACTAACATTAAAACTAATGACACTAATTTATATATTTTATTATGTTGTTTGAATCCAAGGGTCTCATTATCTGAATTTTCTAACTTGTTGGATTGCTCTATAAGTGCCCCTTTTTTACTTTGAGCACCCGCCCCGTCAAAGGACTCTGCACGGCCCTGCTGATCACTTTGTTTATTAATGAACTAAATAAAATAAAATTGGATAACCAACACAGTATGAACATTACAAATATGTTGATCCTATTGCTTTATTTAGCCAGGTAAAATGTTTGAGAACAAGTTCTCGTTTACAAACATAACCTTGTGTAGAGAGCCTCCAAAAATAGTACAAGAGAACAACAACAAAGACATAAAAACATTTAAGCATATAAAAAGAAATAAAAAAAAACGTATAAGAACAAATAAAATTACAATAAAAAGAATGTTAGGCGGGCTTTTTTCTATTTGATTAAACAAATGAAGCACACCTGTTTCAGTTGTTTATTTTTTCTTTTTGTTTAGGTACAAGACAGGAACGAGGACTTGTCAAGTGGAGATCCTCTTCCTCATCTCCTGGCTCTTCCTCCTATGATTTTCCTGTAGGAATGGACTTGGTCAGGCGGGCACGTTGGCTCAAGCGGTTTCCCATCAGTCCCACCTTCACAGGTTTCAGGGCATCTGATGAAGCTCTGCCTACTGAAAGGGAGGAAAGGGAGGAGAGAGGAGCTAAAAAGGAGGAAGAAGATGAAGTCCACCTTCACAGCACCAAGGTGTGACAGTGATGTCATCAGTCTGGAAGACTGAAAACAACATAAACCTTTGTTAACAAAGTCTGAGCAATTGATTAATGTGATTAAATTATCAAAGGGTGGCTCCTACCAATAACATGAGGACTGAAAACTTCTAGAAGCTTAAAGGCTGGTCATCACCTTGCTGCTGTTAAAACTGAATTAGCAGGATGCACATTTGTGTCTGTGTCATTTATGCCGTTTCTTCTTGGAAACACAATTCTCTGTTTTCTATTTTTATTCATGTTTTTGATTCCTGAAGGTTACAGTAACAGCCTAATGCCCTTGTGTATTTACCTGTATTATTTTTCCCACTCTAAGTGTATGTGTTGCCTTAATGAGTGAATATCCCCACAGCGGGCATTCTATTCTATTCTATCATTCAGGTTTGTCAATAAATAACTAATGAAAATATAAGACAATTCTTTTTACTTTTACTACTTTGTTCATTTCCTCTTGTAGATGTTTTATTTTTCAGAACAAAAACTAATTTAAAAAAAGGATAATACGTCTCTGAATAGGAAAGAAGTTTTTTGGTTAAACATGTAAAGATTTGTAGGTGTTCTGGGATTTTAGGTGAGACTTTCCTTCTTTTTTTTTCTCTTCCATTTTCCTTTCCATGGCAGCTTCAGACCCATCTGTCAGCTACCATTCATCTCCAAGATCTTGTAGTAGGTTTCTTTAGAGGTCATTCCAAAGCCTTAGACAGAGAATGTTGTGACACTGTTTGAACTCGCCGAGACACGGTCACGTGGTTCGTGTAGCCCTGAATAGCTCCAAACAACTCAGCACTGCTAGTCTATATGAGTGGCTTCTGGACAGAATTGACGCTAGAACGACTCTTTTCCCATTTCTACAGTGATTTTTTGGTGATTATTGACCAATAACATTTATTGATTATTACACTGATTATGTATTTTATCAAGCGTTTATCAAAGAACTTTTGGAGCAGCATGACCGACATTTATCAGTTTTATATTTTAGAAGGCAGCCAGACTGCAAACAGAACACAGAAAACATGTAGGTTACAGATCATATTCAGCTAAAAAATGGATAATTGTATAACTATTTAAATATTACATTAATCAATGTAAGGATGTAGTTTATAATTTGAGAGCTTCTGTTGTCTGCATGCTAGCATAGATGCTATACTTTTTGTGGCAAGGTGGAAAAACGAGGGCCCGGGCGGGATTCAGACCCCAGACTCCCGGGTGAGAGTCATACGCTCTAACTAGTCAGCCAAAGGGACATCCCCTTGGCCAAGAAGCCAGGGCGCATGATCAATCGGGACATTGTGACAGGACGCTCACACTGTCACACTGATATAGACTTGAATGTGCCAGTGGTTCAGAGCTCTGCTCCTGCTTTGCTTCAAATCTACAAAGCAGGAGATATTATCGTGCAGGATGGCGCCGCAGATGGCAGCCTCGGTACATTGCTCTCTTTTGTTTGTGTTGTTTTTGTATATTTTTTTGGAAATCAGCGATGCAAAACGGATTACTTTCAGTAGAGATGAACTACTGTGTATCAGGCAACAAACCACAGAGACGGATTTTCAAAAATTTGAGGACCCGGGGAGTTTATTGGAAGTTTTGATCAGAGGTACTGCTGTTTGTTGGAGAAGGAAACGCAGGAGGGGTAAACGAGCAGGAGCGCTGGTGAGACTCCGCCAGCGGGGATTTCGTATGCCTCTCCCAGCACACTCACCTTCCTCAAATCTAACAAAATTGGTGTCAAACATTTGTGCTGGTTTGTGCTGCAATATAATAGTAGTATATCAATAATATGAAGAAAAAATGTAATAACTATAACTGTGACGCTGGAACGAAGAAGAAAAACTATGTAAATATTCACAAGAATGTTTTCTTCTAGTTACACAGCTATGTGGCATCCATGGACGTCACTAGGATTGAGATATGTGTGTGTGTGTGTGTGTGGGGGGGGGGTCCCAGGAGCTTGACCTTGAACATTTTTTGTCACACCCTGCAAAAACGTAGTCAATTAATTAATTATTTGAAGGACATTTAACAAAAGCTGTTATTTTATCACTTTCTTTTCCATTCCTACCTTCGTGCATTTTCTTTCTTCTTTTTATCAAAAAATAACACTTAATCAGTTCATTGGTGGGGTCTATGTTGAAGAAAGATTTTTTTATAAGTCCATAAAAAAATTAGATATGTTATATTTCCAAATAAAGCTATTCATTTCAGTCTACTGCACTTAACAGGGGGAAATGTTGTGGTCATTTATTTAATTTGTTAATTGTTAATTACAACTTGCTTAGTTGTAAATGCAACTGAAATATGACAATGAAGAACAAATTAATAAATGTCAAACTTTTATTCTGCCAAATGAGTGTACAATTGACAATTTTAATAAATGAAGAACACTGCTATGATATGGAATAAAGGTGTCCTTGAATTAACAATTACAAAACAAAATAACAGCATATACAGGTGCTGGCCAGTAAATTAGAATATCATCAAAAGGTTGAAAATATTTCAGTAATTCCATTCAAAACGTGAAACTTGTACATTATATTCATGCAATGCACACAGACCAATGTATTTCCAATGTTCATTACATTTAAATTTGATATTTATAGGTGACAACCAATGAAAACATCAAATCTGGTATCTCAGAAAATTAGAATATTCTAAAGGCCAATGAAAAAATGTTTGTTTCTCTAATGTTGGCCAACTGAAAAGAATGAACATGAAAAGAATGTGCATGTATAGCACTCAATACTTAGTCGGGGCTCCTTTTGCCTCAATAACTGCAGTAATGCGGCGTGGCATGGACTCGATCAGTCTGTGGCACTGCTCAGGTGTTATGAGAGCCCAGGTTGCTCTGATAGTCGTCTTCAGCTCCTCTGCATTGTTGGGTCTAGCGTATTGCATCCTCCGCTTCACAATACCCCATAGATTTTCTATGGGGTTAAGGTCAGGCGAGTTTGCTGGCCAATCAAGGACAGGGATACCATGGTCCTTGAACCAGGTGCTGGTGGTTTTGGCACTGTGTGCAGGTGCCAAGTCCTGTTGAAAGGTGAAGTCTGCATCCCCATAAAGTTGGTCAGCAGCAGGAAGCATGAAGTGCTCTAAAACTTCCTGGTAGACGGCTGCATTGACCCTGGACCTCAGGAAACAGAGTGGGCCAACACCGGCAGATGACATGGCACCCCACACCATCACTGACGGTGGAAACTTTACACTGGACCTCATGCAACGTGGATTCTGTGCTTCTCCGCTCTTCCTCCAGACTCTGGGTCCTTGATTTCCAAAGGAAATGCAGAACTTGCTTTCATCAGAAAACATAACTTTGGACCACTCAGCATCAGTCCAGTCCTTTTTGTCCTTGGCCCAGGCGAGACGCTTCTTGCGCTGTTTCTTGTTCAAGAGTGGCTTGACACACGGAATGCGACACCTGAATCCCATGTCTTTCATGAGTCTCCTCGTGGTGGTTCTTGAAGCGCTGACTCCAGCTGCAGTCCACTCTTTGTGGATCTCCCCCACATTTTTGAATGGGTTTGTCGTCACAATTCTCTGCAGGGTGCGGTTATCCCTAGAGCTTGTACACTTTTTTCTACCACATTTTTTCCGTCCCTTCGCCTGTCTGTTAATGTGCTTGGACACAGAGCTCTGCGAACAGCCAGCTTCTTTAGCAATCACCTTTTGTGTCTTGCCCTCCTTGTGCAAGGTGTCAATGATTGTCTTTTGGACAGCTGTTAAGTCAGAAGTCTTCCCCATGATTGTGGTGCCTTCAAAACAAGACTGAGGGACCTTTTAAAGGCCTTTGCAGGTGTTTTGAGTAAATCAGCTGATTAGAGTGGCAGCAGGTGTCTTCTATATACAGCCTTTTCAGAATATTCTAATTTTTTGAGATACCAAATTTGGAGTTTTCATTAGTTGTCACTTATGAATATCAAATTTAAATGTAATGAACATTGGAAATACATTGGTCTGTGTGCATTGCATGAATATAATGTACAAGTTTCACGTTTTGAATGGAATTACTGAAATATTTTCAACCTTTTGATGATATTCTAATTTACTGGCCAGCACCTGTATAAAAAATATCCAGCAGTAGTAGCAGTAGAATGTAATTGAATTAAGTTCAAAATGCCCACCAAACAATCATTAAACAAGCAGGATTAAAAATGAAAGGAAACAAGACCGGTATTGGCTTTGAAATGACCTAAGTGGATGACTATATAGTCTGATCCTGAAAGTGGTTTCATGACCACAAAAGAAACATTGATATAATATGGAACAGAAGACATGTCTTTGAATCAACAAATAAAAGACAAAATAACAGCATATAAACACCATCATGCAAGTGGTAGAACTTAAAATACATCACTGTTACAATTCCCATTACTGTTCTGACTTAAACCAGTATGCGTAACGGCTTCACATAAACTTTCTGTCTACTTTGAGGGTGGAAGCATCAAAGAATGCTTCTGTTTTTCATTGTGGCAAAGCCGTCTATCACTTTGTTGTCACTCAACTGACCTACAAGGTCATTTTCAATCGACATGACTGCAAGGTTATGAAGCCTTCTCTGCCCCATTGTTTGACGCAGCCAGGTGTGCAGCCGACGCAGTGCACTGAATGACCTTTCGCAAGAGCAGCTACTTACAGGCACAGTCAGAGCAACTTGGAGGACTTCTTTAAGAGAGGGAAACATGTCTGAGTTTAGGAGGTTGTGCACAGTTAACATATCTTGGGGTGGATGTCCAGCATCTGCTTTGACAGAAAGAAAGTTTCTGGCAACAAGAACATCCTCTATTTTCAGGTTAATGCTATAGTGCCTAGCAAGTTCGTTCAAGTTGGATTGATCCAAGAAGTTCTCAGATTTAGGACTGCATGCCTGGATGCCTTTTAGGAGACCTGCATCAACACTGCAAAATCTCACTTCAAGCTCACCAACCATCCTGTCCACACAGGGGAAAAGCAGCTCAGTTTTCAAGACCTCTGAACTGATTAACTCAGTACGTGAACCTACGGTTGTCTCAAACATAAAATCTTCCATTTTTTTCTGTTTCTGCCTTCTCTTTGCATGTGGTTCTGGAATACCGTGTGTGAGGCACAGAGCCTTGGTCTTCTCATACAGTTCTGTGGCAAATGCATCTGTGTGTTTACCCCTGATTGTGTCACACACAGCATCTGTGCCAGTGAGAGCTTCTGCCAGGTCTATATCCTCCTTCTGAAGGAGTTTGTGGAGTCCTTCAGTTATAGATAGAAGTGTCTGAAACATCAGGAATGCATAGATGGTTGAGAACACCGATAGCTTTCCTTTTATACCAATAGCCATGGTAGACCCAGTGTCAGAGAGACATTCAAAAATGGCAGGTAAAGTCTGAAGAACTGCATTGATTGATTGCAGCCGGCATGCCCAACGAGTGTTTGAAAGCTGCACAAGTTCTGCTGCTGCCAACCCAAGCTTGGACTGCGCATCTTTGAACTTGTGGTGATTCACTAGGGGGGTGGTGAAAAAAAGAATATATACATTCCAACAAATCAAAAAGCTCCACAGCCTCTGAAACAGCCCTGCAAGTGTGGCACAACACTAGGTTTAGCTCGTGCGCATAACAGTGTACACAGATAGCTTCAGGAGGAAGTCTTCTAAAATGTGCCTGCATGCCTCCTGTGGTTCCACTCATGACTGCTGCACCGTCATAAGTCTGTGCTATACACTTCACATTAGCAAGGCCATTGATCTGGAGATGATGCTGCAGCTTGTCTACAATGGACTTGGCATCAAAAGAAATCAGTTCTGAAAGTGCTAGGAAAGGTTCCTTTACTTCCCCCTCGGACACATACCTAACACAAACTGTCAGCTGCTCTGATCGCCCGTCTCTTGCTTCATCGGCCATAATGGAATACATTTTGGAATGTTTAATGTCAGACACAATGACACTGGTCACTTCCTGAGCACAACACTCAATCATCTCATTCTGTGACACTGGTGAGGTGTATGTGGCATTTGATGGACAATTGTGAACATCTCCCTGCTGGCTAGTTGCCTGATATCCTTTCCATGCAAGAACACTGTCCTTGTGTGACTGTGCCATATCTTGTTTACTAAACAGATGTGGCAATACGGGAGTGGTCTATGACCTGTTGACGCCAAGGATGGCAATTGTACCTGCTCGAGTGTAATTTCGTTAACAACGCCACCTTGGGAATTTCACCCAAGGAATTAAAGCATATAGATTAATTTCACTTGACAGTAGACGTGGTTTCAGAAGTTACAATGAATTTATTTTATTTTATAGAAGAAACAGTTTAAAAGACATTTTAAAAACTGGCCATGTAAAATACCATAAAAAATACTAAAATTAATGCCCCAAAAGAAACTGAACCAATGAAATGTATTGAGAAAAAAAGAAAGAAATTAACTTAACTCACTGAAATTAATTCATGAAGTCCCAAAAAATGAGAGTTAACAAAACACAATACAACTACAAATTTAAATAAATAAAAAGGTTAACAAGCAGGACTGAGGCTAGTGATGGAGGCAGGTAACGCGGGGCAGAGAAGCCCCAACACAACAAAAATAATAAAGAACGTATAAAGGATTCACCCCTGGCAGTGAACATTCATACCAACGTGAGAAAACCAGCACCACCACACGCACACGGGACCACCACCTCCGAGGCCACACACCACACCTCCTGCCTCAGCCTGCACAAAGAAAAAAAAGATTAAAAACGGTATAAAATGTGTACAATATAAATCAGCTGTTCTTCCTTCTGGACTCCGGCCACGAGCCAGGGAACTTCCTTCAAACAGCTGATTTAAAATGTAGAAAAAGGAAACTAAACAAAACAGCGGCACCTCCCGCTGGACCACGGAGAAATCGGTCCTCCCACTGATGACCCCTGAGTAGAAGGGAACTCCCTGCCCAGCAGCAACGGGGATTCAATCTTTCCCTGGTTTTACAAAGAGCTGATGTTAAGATTGTTTGACTCATAGGTTATCTACCTGCAGAAGGTACGTACCGTTTACTAATGTTTTGTGTATCAAAGGCAAGCGATGATGTCACACCCAACACTGATTAATTGCCCAAGCTGCAGAGTGCACAACACAGTCTGAGACACAGTAACTCTACTGCTAAACAGAGTAGCCATCCAGGTACATACCACAGTTGGAGCAGAGCCGATCACCCCTAAAACGCAGCCAAAGGACACGGGCTGGTAACACGTAGTGGTATACTTAAAACCAGCTGTTTCCTGAAATTACTTCCTTGCCGGAGGAGCTCCCCTTTTATAGCCGGAGCGCCCTCCTACGTATGGAGGGCGTACTGTTCTAAACCAATAAACTTGGAGCAGGTATTTCGTACTGCTACACAGACAAAGCTTTTTTCCAATTTCTGCAACCACTACTGACCAAAGCA